AATCTCCCTCAGATTATTTCAGTTTTGTTTGTTGTTTCTTTTCTAAATTAACAATAATAATTCGTGGCCACGTGTGACACACCTGGCGTCGCTAGGCGCGCGCGCGGGCCTCGGGGCGCCAGGCAGCTCCATCACGTCGGACGCAAATAACCAATTAGTCGGCTCGGAGCCGTTGTTTCCAAGTTCCAATTACAAGCGCTGCGTGGGCGCCCTGCGCCCCGCGCCCCGCGCCGCTGGCAGAAATAAAAACTCTGTACTCTGCGCCATGCCTTACAGGAGAGGGCATGGAGCGGAGCCCCAGCGCCATCTCCATGCCGAGGAACCACAGCTCCAGCGCGCTGGGCGACCTCAACGGGGAGCACAAGGTGGGTCCGCAGACGAAGCGATACAATAGGATCACTGGTAAAAAGTGAAAATGGGAAGTCCGAGGACTTACGCCCTTTTCACTGTTCACGACATCACGCGCGCGAGGTTAATACGTTCTTCAAATTATTCGTCCCGCGAAGATCTTCGGCTAAAGTGTGGTGGATAAAACCGCGCCCTTTGAGAGGGGGCTCATGCTCTTTCGCGACGAAAGATAAATAGTGATCTTCTAGCCTCTGTCTACTTTGTGTGAACTTTGCTTGCTCCCACCATTCTCCGCCACCTCGCAGCCGCCCTTCATCCTGCTCCTCGTGTCGTTAAATCTGGTCCTTTCTGACTCTCTCTCCTCTTTCCTTCTCGTTTCCAGAGTAACGTCAACTTTATGAGGAAGATTCCCCCCGGGGCGGAGGCGTCCAACATCCTGGTCGGCGAGGTCGACTTCCTGGACAGGACGATCGCGGCCTTCGTCCGCCTCAACCAGGCCGCCTTCCTCGGGGACATCACCGAGGTCCCGGTGCCCACGAGGTTCATGTTCGTGCTCCTGGGACCCACGGTACGCGAGTAATGTATTGATTGGCAAAAGCAATCATAGCTTGGATTGTAAATGCCTAACAATCTTAATAGGGGTCGTTCTCCTATACTCAGTCACTTTTAGGGGGTAAAAATATTATGGGGTCCCAAAAGGATCAGGACTATCATTGAAAACCTGTTGGACCCCATGATATTTGAACCCCGGGGTAGAAATATCGGGGGTTTATATGGACTCCAATAATGATGCACTTGATCATTTTCGGACCCCCTAATATTTGCACCCCCTCCCGAAACGTCGGGTCGTGTCGTATTTGAACGACCCCTTGACACTTACGTGGTGGGCGAGTTCGCCTTCCGCAGCGGCAGTGAGGAGCGCCCGGGGGGTAGGCACCTCGCGCCCACGCGAGCTGGACGGGACTGCCTATGCAGCGCTTCACAGGGGCTCTGGGTGCGCGCTCCAGGCCAGAGAGGGCGACGTCTCTCTCTCTCTCTCTTTCTGTCCTCGAACGGAAACAAAACAGTTTTGCAGTCAAAACTATCTCGTTGGCGCTCCATGGTTCTCTACGTCGGCTTCATTCCGCGTCCCTCTCCAAACTAAACGCACTTCTCTCTCTCTCTCCCACAGGGCGGCATCGCCAGCTTCCACGAGATCGGCCGCGCCATGGCCACGCTCATGTCGGACGAGGTGTTCCACGAGGTGGCCTACAAGGCGCGCAACCGGAACCACCTCCTGGCCGCCGTGGACGAGTTCCTGGACGCCGTCACCGTCCTGCCCCCCGGCGAGTGGGACCCGAGCATCCGCATCGAGCCACCAGCCGCCATTCCATCCCAGGTAACTCCCCTCTACCCCCTCCCCTCTTTCTCTCTCATTCTACCTCCCTCGCCCCCCCCCCTCGCCCCCTTCACCTCGGACCGCTTTG